AAAAAATAATCTACTCGTCTTGTGTGTGTGAGATTTAGTGGATCGTGGGAGCTTTCGTTTTCGCAGCAGACACCGACGATTCCACGCCGGGAAGCGAACCCTTGATCCCGGCCTGTCGCGAATTATGCGAGGGGACGTGGCGTGACGTTGAGTTCGGCCGAGTCCAGGTAGAGAAGGTGAAACTCGGCACCAACGCTGAGTTCCTCCTTTGTTCGCGACCGTTTCCAAGTCGTGCTCTTGGCCCTTATCCCTGGAATCGTCGTTGTCACGTGAATCTTCCCCAGTCCAAGATAGTGCGATGATGAAACGACGCACGGTTGTACTGGAACACGCGAGGTCGCAGTCGTATATTTAACCGTGGCATTAAGATTCACAGAGTTTATTAATAGTCTCATAAAATATTAACCGACGCTTGCCGAGTTTCTACAGTAAATCGATTAATTTGATTAGCAGAAACTCGCTCGTGCGAAGCGCCGGAGGTGTCAAAATTGCGCCGCGCGGAAGCTCTTTAATTAGTCCTGTGACAGGATAGTCTGATTTCCTTCTGGAATTAAACAGTAATCAATTAATTTCGGATTTATTGAAAGAAAATTGTATTGAATATTCCTCTTTTTAAAAAAAGGAATCACGTAATTGAGGGTTGCCACAAAATTGGTAATCGGGGAAAATTTTTTGCAAAATTTGCTGAAAAATAAAAATTTTTGAAAAAAGTTAATGTGCGTCATCACATTTACGTATCTAGAATACCAACCTAACAATTAAATGCAAACAGTGTGCTTAAATGCATCAGCGATATTAATAATAATTTATATTGCTATGTTAAGGAGGTTGTAAGGGCATAAAACACATATATTAATATTTTCGCTTTAAACAAACTACATACATGTGAAAGTTGTGTTTATAACATTCTGGTTTTATTGAGCAACACATTTTTATAGGTTATTTATTTTATTTGTTATTAGTTTTATTGTTATAAACAAAAATTATTAAAATAATAAGAAAAATCTAAATGTTTTTATATAAATATATTAAGTACTAAACATGCACTTATGCAAAGTTTCATTGAGATTCACCATTAGTTTATAACAAATAACAAATTTTATTTATTTACTGAACAATTAATGTCTGCATCTCAAGACAACTTCACAAAAATATTGTTGAATTCCTAGAGTATTTATATAAAAAAATTGAGATTTTTATCATTATTTTATAATACATTTTCATATATTTATATTAGAGTACAAATTTAAAAAATATTACTACTTATTTAAATAACTTTTGATCCAGATGGTCAATTGTTTCTATTTTTTTTGTATTATTATTAAATGAAATTTAGAATAGTCTGTAATTTTTTCAAGTAGTTCTTAACATATTGCATTTGCCTTACAACCTCCTTAAATTGCTCTCTCAACAAAATATTTGACGGCATTCAAATCAGTACAAAAATACAGAAAAATATTATCGAAAGAAATCAGAGAAAATCATGAAATTTTGACGGGAAATCAGGAAAAAGTTACGGAATTTTAGAATGAAGCTTTTGTGACAACCGCACTTGTATAATCATTCAATTCGCTAAAACGTGCGCTCTGGTAGAAAAATGGCAAACGCTCCGGTAGTGATTTCGGTAGGATAACTTTCACTCGACGGGATGACTCAACTCCTTCCGAGTCTGAGATTATTATGAAAATGAAGAGAAAAAGAAGATAAGACGGAACGGATGCGCTAACGAACGGATTACGTTGGAGACACGATAAATTGCGAGGGAATGAGATGAATCAGATGATTGCGAAATAAGTAAATTAATTATTAACGAAACTAATTAAATAGAGACGTAATTTTCCAACGCGCTTAACTATATCACGTTCGATAATTCACAACGCAAATAACTTGCGGTGTATCGAAAGGAAGAGAAAAAAAAAACTCGTTAGTCACAACCCGCAAAATATTGCGTTACCGTTATCCAAGCGGCGATCTGGATCGATCTGTGTATCGCGTTCACTGGGTTTCTATTTTTTTTTTTTTCCTATTCTTTCCGTTCACCATCGATCCAGGTCTCCGAGTTGCCGGTTACGTTTATCTCATTTTACAGTTTCATTTACGATGTTATCAGCGAGTGGAGCGATAACACGGCATCCCCGTGCCGGGGCACCGCTCGAATTCGCGTAACTTAGCGCGAGGATTGCGAAACGCGGAACGCGGAACGCGCGTAATTCGGCGCGCGTAAGCCGGACGTGCAACTCGGGAAAGTGACCGCGGCAACTGCATGTCTACCGAATTACTCATCGTACACCACCAGGCTCCTTCCATTAACGCCTCTCGCTTTTCTCACCCTGCCGCACGTTTCCCTCCTCTCGTCCTCCGTCGACCGTAAAACGGCGCATTCCGTCCAGCTAAATATGCCCGTCCGTGCTCCATCTTCTATTTACATTATCCTATTCCTGCGGGTGAAGCTTTCCGACGGACTGTCACGTTCAGCGATGCGATAAACGCGACCACTCGACCACGTCGAGAAAACTCCGTGAGGAAACTCGAGGAAATCCACGAGGAAAAACTGTCGGGTTCTCCTCCTTCCGCTCAAGTCAACGACAAGCCTAACAAGTTCCCGGGAGGTACCGGAGAAGTTCGATTATCCTCGCGCTCGTTAATTCAGCTAGAGACTTGGCGAACCGCGTTCGACCAGGGCGGCCGATGACCCGCGCGCGATTACCGGGAGACGACCGACGATCCGGTTGAGGGAGCAAGTCGACGATGGCCTCCACGTCGGCCGAGAACTCGAAGGGCGCCCGGAGGCGCACCACCGGCCTGCCGACGCGCGTTCGCGTCCCCGCGAACTTGGAGAACGGCACCGGCGGCGGCGCCGAGGATGGACGCGACGACTCCGGCCTCTCGTCCGAGAGTTCGACGCCCACGAACGGATCACCGCCTCCGCGGCAGCCCAGGGCGCCGAGCAACGGTCAGATCACCTCCACGAGCATCGGCGTCGCGG